ATTATATTCTGGCTCTACAGGGAAGATGGACCCATATCAAATTATTGCACATGCAGCAACTTAATAGCTATCGTGCATTACTCTGTTTCATATGGATACAAATAATCTGCATCCTGCTTCTTATCTACAGAAAGAAAATAGTACACCTGAAAGCAATAGCTGCATGATCTTGTTCATCTTTGTGCGATGATGATGGCTGGACCTGAGCTAAAAGGTTCGATCTCAGGCCCAATCACCAATCCTTTTCCTCTCTGAATGCATTGTAATGCACTTCTGAATAAAATAGGAATAGGCTGCATGCAGGCATTGACAAGAGATTTATGATGGGAACAAAACTTAGGGTGTTAAGTACTTTGATCTTTTATGACTCTCATTATGCCACTATCAGAATGTGAGACCACTGCTATATGTAACAGATGATCTTTAAGAACAAAATATGTAGTTTTTTTAAGGGTTTTTTGTTTGCCATTTGATGAGACAGAGTGCAAAAACGAACATGTAAAGTTGTTGATAGTAATCCATTGCACAGTGGAAAGAGAAGTAGATATTACATAACATGACGCAGAATCCTACAAGTACAACAAGCCATGGCAAAGGCAAACAAGCGTTACATCGCTGCACACTGAGTGCATGCATCAATGCTCCGTGCACGAGCTCTGCACCGCCACCGCAGGAATGGTCGGAACAGCAGGCATCGGCGGCAGTGTTGGAAGTGTCGGCGTAGCCAAGGTTGGGATACCCAGTGCTGCGGCGGGGGCGGTTGCTTCTACGAGATGGCGTGCTGCATGGCATTCTTCGAAGCTTAAGAACGCAGTGGCCATGAGATTTGCTTTGGCGAGGAGGCCAGAGTTGGAAGCCATGGATGATGTTTAAGTAATACTAGTTCTTGGGGTTTATACGTTAGAGAGAGAGAGAGAGAGAGAGATCTGCAAGAGAACTCTCATGTTATTATGTAATAAAGTTCAAGTAAAGCATCTGTTTGATTTAACATTAATTACAAACACAGCAAATTTTAGGTGAAAGTGAAAGTGTTTGGATTAAATAAGAATAAGCATATGTGAATAATACATTAACTCTAACAAAATCGATCATCATCAACAATGATATCAGCAAGCAAATATGAGCTCATGGCCACATCTTTCGAGTGTTGGAGGATTCTTCACTGCGTGTAATCAGGCAGCTAGAACCACATCCAAATCATCATCATCACCATTGAGTTCCCTACATAACCTACCATCAGCCGCTGCGTCGTCGCCGTCGCCGATGAAGACCGAAACTACCAGAAGAGCCTTGTCCATGGCAACCACCACCACCACTCTGCAATGCGTGAACCAGCAAGAGAAGCAGGTGAGGAGAGGATGCCTTCTCCTTGTTGTTGGAGTGTAGACTGTAAAGGCCACAGGAGAGCAGGAAAAGGAGGGGTCAACGTTGGAACACTCTTCTCCGCTTTCACATGCTCGTCCGCGGTGGCGGGCGACGCGGCGCATTGGTGCCACGTGCCACTGCGCTGTGCATGTCGGACATTGACCATGAGTCAAACCGGGGCCCGCAGGGGCGTGACCATCATCTCCATTATCTCCATCATGGATAATATAAAGAAATTGAGGCAGGTGTTGCATTCATTTTCGTGAATTTAATTTAATATTATTTCCATTCCTTAGTCGCTAATCACTAAAAGAAATATTTCAATAGTAAAAAATATTTTTTATTCATCGAACATGCCAAATTTACTGTTAATGGTTTTTTTAAATCTTAATTAGAGATAAAAATTTATTATAATTTATTATAATATATATTTCTTAATTTTGCATGATAAATTCACACGAAACAAAAATAATATGAATTATTCATCGAATTGAGGGATCTCTCGACTCTTAGTTATTTATCTATGCAGAAATAGTGGAATGCGCAATTTCTATGTCACCATTACCTCTGAGGCCATCAAACTTTGGAGTCAGTATTGTTGATGTGAAGTTCGCATTGGAGTCACAGCCACACACCCACCGTACTTCTTCTTCTTCTTCTTCCTACCTTTCTTTCCCTCATATCTACCAACGTGATATCTACTTCACCTAACTTATCCTGCCCCATGTCCACTTTCCCAACTCTGAATCCCAACCCTTGATCGAAGGTGCGCCAGTGAGGTGATCCGATGCTCTAAGATTCGTGCATCCATCGGAACCAACGTTCCCTTTCCATTCATGTAACATTACTGTCATTATACGGGAGCTATACCAATGTTGATTCTTATACTTTCAAAAGTTATATTATGATCCTTCTGCTAATATTCCTATATAAGGTTAAAAATCAAAAAAGAGAAAGAGATTTTATTAAAGCAACGGGTTAAATATTTTACTTTCGTAAATATAATATTTCACTATAATTTTTAAAAAGTATAAAAACGGAAACATTGAAGGTAGTTACCCGTAGGGGTAATATATAATTAGCTCTATATATAATAATTAAATAATATTTATAATGTTTAATTTATTTTTTTTTATCAAAAATATATTTATATATGAGATGAAAATTAAAAAAAATTATTAAGTCAATAACTAGTTAGATGTTTTTATCTAAATTTAATATGTTAAAATTTTGAATTGTATTAATGTTTGATATCATATACGTAAGAACAATACCGATATTAAACGGCTTCGAAAATATAAAAATGGGTACAAGGGTTAATATTAGAAAATCGAAGTTTTTGAATTATGTTTGTATCAAGTCTCATGTATATTATTTCGAATCAGTTTTATTTATAATTATATAATTAAATCTTCTAGATTTTTTTTTGTGTCATCACATATAATTACCAAAATTATGATTTGCTAATTATGCTGATGAAACAAAATCCCCATATAATGGGTCATAAAACCTTACATACACTACTGAGCCAATACTTGAGCTCCTTTTCACCTGTTTGTATAAATGCCAGTAGCCTCTCCTTGTTTGCAGCAAAAGGAGGTCAAGAAGCAGAGAAGTCAGGGAGAGCGCAATGGCAGGGAAGAGGAGGTGGGAGGACATGGAGATGGACTGCTTGGTGGCGATCTTGCAGAGGCTCGGCCTGCAGGACTTGACGCTGAGCGTGCCGTTGGTGTGCCGGTCATGGCGGAAGGCCTCTCTCCACCCCCTCTGCTGGCGAGTACTAAACTTGCGGGACTTGGACTTCATGCCGTGGGGTGATTTGACCAAGAGCTTCATGGCAGAGTACCGCCTCCAGAGATTCTTCTTCTCGGGCTTCTTAAAGCTCGCCGTGGCGAGGGGCAATCGTTTGGTGGAGGAGATCATGTTCCCTCTCCTGTTTGGCACCTCCATGCAGGACCTGTTCTTTGTTTCTGACGAGTATGAAGCCTTCTCCCTACTTATTTAGATCTTTTACTCGATGGTTGATGAAGCTTTCATGGGTTTCCAGCAGATGCCCGAGACTGAAGAAGCTTGTGCTGCCGAATCTCTCGCCGGCAGATGAGGCAGACATCCCAAAGCTCGTAGGAAAATGGAAGGACCTCGAGCAGCTTGAGATGGAGGCAAAACCATCTTCTTTCTTGGAGATGCTCTCAGAAATCAATCTGCATTGCAAGAAGTTTAGTGGACTCAAAATGTGCGGTTCTATCAAAAAGGAAGACATGTTGGCCATCGTTAATCTTCTTCCAAAGCTCAAGTTTTTGTGCCTCAGCAAGTCATACTTGCCCAGGGAGCAACTACTGGGGATACTGAGTGGCTGTAAGGAACTGCAGAGATTGACTGTGAGGGACTGCATGGGATTTGAAGCTGATGAAGAGGTAAAGAAAAGAGGTTTAGGCATCAAGATTTTCGAGCATGAGGGTTCCAAATTGTTCGATGATTTCGATTATAATTCAGATGAATGTGATCCATTGTAAATGCCTTGATCATAGCCTGAGTACCTTAAATCTTTGTCCTCTAATTATCTTCTGCATCCCTCTTTCCCTGGTGTACTACTTTGAATCATTCCTTTGGAAGATTCATCATTCTTCTGCATGATGATACTCTTGAAAGTAGATGTAGTCCTCCAAAAAAGATCTTGACTTGTTCTCCAAATTTGTAGCAGGGAAGCAGCTCACACAAAGAGTGTAATTAACAACACCTGACAACATAATCACCACCCACCCCAACCAAAAACCCACCAAACCAAAAGCAAAAGGAGATTCGGAGCAGTCACCTATTCTGAAGGATACTGCATCACAAGAGGACAAAACGATCAATTAAATTGTTGGATCAACTTATACAAACTATTTTTTGCTGTTCATTCATTTCCCTGCAAATATAAACATCATAATCTTGGCTGGCTCTTGTAACTACTGGTAGTGAACCATCTTTTGCTTTAGCAAAGACTGTGTGCCAGTAGCAATCACTATTCTTGGTAGCCTAAGAGGCAGCAGCTAAAAGTTTCCTAGGCCATGTATTCAATTGTTTCTGTAGTAGATTCCTTTCAAAGTTTTCTGTGGAAGGATGTGACTTGAATAACATTAGGATCATCACCTACTGTTCCTGTCAGCTGAAAGGAAAAAACTTCTCTTTCAGAAGAGTCTGACATCAAAATAACAATAGAGCAGTTTCTTTTAAGGAAGAAAAAAATATCATTGGAGACATCACCTGTCTTTTGCCAGAAATTATGCAGGAATAATTGTCCATGCCAATTCAAAGGAAAACACCTCTGTCAACACACCTACACAGAAACTGTACTCATTAATAATTATGAGGATTTTTGCCTGGGTTGAGCAGAGCCCAATCTGCAAAAGATGGCATGGGTCTTTTAAGACCATTTTGTTGCCATTGCTTGGCTATGAAGCAGGAATTTTACCCATTATTCATCTCAGCATCATTTTGTTTCATGATAAATGCAGCCATTCAGCATTTTGAGGTGTTTTGAGAGGAATCATGAAACTTTGAGTTCTCATTGTGAAGTTAGATAGTTTCTTCGTGCATCCTTCCTCCTATTTATGTTGCATTAATACAGAAACATTATCATTCTACGCCATCATTCCAATACAATAATTGATCGAAAAATATCGATGGCATTCATATCAATATAACTCGGTTCGAGCACGTGCATGCAAGAAACTTGATATGATCGATATAGGGTGGCTCGAACTCTCCTCAAGGACTGAGGTAGACTCCGATGTGTGCTATACGGTGGACTTAATAGAAAGATCAAGATCAAATGAGTTTCTCAACATTGATCCTTCCAATACTCTACGATAAAAATAGAGTAAATTTAGTGAATAATAATTGACATTTATTACTAAGGTAATTTTTTTATAATGAATTAATCGAGAAGAATATTTTATAAAATAATCTTTCTCCTTTGGATATGAGCATAATACTTTCTTATCGCTATTTTAGACTAATGTCTATATGATCTAATTGTTAATTTTATTTTGCCCCATCATTATTTGCCACTATTATTTGGAGAAAATATTTTTCATATCAATAATGATGGCAAAAAAAGCTTATAAGTATTTTCTTATATGCTTATTTGGTCAAACTAACTAACCTTAGAAGAAATTAATTTGAATTTCATGGATAAATATTATTAATAGTTGTAAATGCGAGAATTTTAATATTTTAAAAAATGAATTATATTAAAGTTTTAAATAATAAATTTATTTTTATTTTTATAATATGCATATGCGTATTGTGCGTGTGATATATATATATATATATATATATATATATATATATATATATATATATATATTTATTTATTTATTTATTTATGGAGAGAGAGAGAGAGAGAGAGAGAGAGAGAGAGTGCGATAGCAATGCAACGAGGGAGGTGCCGACTATCACGAGCTTTCGTACCTTCGTCTCGACCGTCATCCTCTGTTTTTTATTGCTTTGTCTTCCACCTCATATCTGCGCTTTGAATCCGTCTTAACCCTTACTATGTCCGAAGCCTTCCGCCGTCTTCCGCAAATGAGCTTTTCAATCCCAAGTCAACTCGTTAATTTTGGCCATTTTCTCTTCCTGTGACCCCCCTGGTGATGAAAAGCTGCGGATTCGTCCTCTTGGATCCGGTTTCCTCGAGCTCGCGGCGCCTCTCCTTTCAAGTTTGGATTTTCCTTGAATCATTTTGGAAAAAGTTGGGATCTTCCCGTCGAAAGTTCGAATTTTTGTTAGTTTGCTGCTTCAAAGATTCGATCTTTGAGGTTCTTGATTCGGTGGTGTTCCTGCGATGGAACTCCTTTCCGACGATGCGGCAGCAGAGGGAGGAGAGGTGGAGAGGGAACCCTCGGGCGAGCCGCTGGTGAGAGAACCCCGACATTGTCGGACCCATTTCCCCGGCGCCGTGCGGCAAAAAGCCTATCTTTTCGACGGATTGGGCAACTACTTCAACAAGGAGTGGGATCTGATGGAAGGCAGCGGGCGAGAGTTCTGTTGGTACCATGCGGAGCTCCCGAAGGGAAACCAGAAGTTGGCATTGTCGGCTCAGTATCTCATCGATGTCCTGTGCCCGCCGCTTAAGCTCCAGGACATCCTCACACTCGTCAGCAATGGCCCCTTTTGCGGGCACGTCGACGGCGCCCTCGTGTTCCGAGTGAATTCTTCGGGTCCTTCCGCCAGCAGCTTCACCCTGAGGCTGGCCGCCAGGGTGACCGAGAACTCGGTCATCACTGTGAGCCTGGGACGGGTCCCAAGATTGGGGTTTTCACCCACGGGGCAGTCGCTTCTGTCAGAGATCCCAAGCATCGAGAGCACGGATTTGGTGAGGGATGAGGAGAAGGAGGGACCTAGTGGAATTGTCATTCGGGAGCATGTTCTTGAATTTTTGTTGACGATGAACCACTCGGAGGAGGCTGACAATCCTGTGCCAGTTAGGGTTTCAAACCTTGTTGTGCATATTATTGACACACATGTCGATCATGTCCAGGATATAGTGACTAAGCTTGAGATGGAACTGGATGCAGTGGAGCTGGAATTAGACAAGGGTAATCGCTTCTTCCCCTTTGTTGTCTTTGATAGTTTATCATCAATGATATGGGGGAATATATGTTTTGTAGTGTGTAATTTTCCTTCTCAGAACACACTACACTGCAATAAATTAGTGAAGCTTTTCTTGTGTTCTCATGTAGCAAAGAGCAAATTAAAGATCCATAGCCTATGCATCACTTATTCTGCACAAAAAAAAAAGGTGATAAGTGAAGCTTTAGCTGCAGTTTATTTGTGTACCAACATGTTGGATATGGATACATATTTTTCTAATTGATTTGTCAACTTCGTTGAACCCAAATCATTTGTCAAAATTCTTTAGTTGAAATTAACAATAGTATACTCATTAGGTATAAGTTAATTTTAGTCTTAGCTCACTTTCGACATCTTGTCACAATGTCTAAGTTGAAGTTAACAATAGTATACTTATTAGATATAAGTTAATCTAAGTTTTAGTTTACTTTCAACGTGAGACTAACCGGGGTGTTATAGTGTTAACCAATACATGTATAATATCTCAAGATAAATGCACAGAAATAGAAATATTTCATCCTTTGGATTTGATTCATTCGCGAATCATCAGGAACTATTTTAGGTCAACTTGAAACACTAAGCTTCGACATTTTACACCGATGAATCTTTTTAATTTCTTCTGTTTGGTTGCAGGTTACACTTTGATTTAATAAGCCTTGACATCAAACTTTGACCATTCCAGAATCTTTAAAGTGCTTTATATCATTCCTATTTACGTGGTTGCAATATCATGTGCTTTTCTAATATACAATCTCTGCATGCCACAACATTGCAAACATTTTGTCCTCTACTGTAAGCTTCTATGCCACTGGTGTAGGTGTCACTGCATGGAATTTTTATTGGATGTATAACTTAGACTGGTCTAATTGCAATCTACTGGGATGCTTGTGAAGCAACTTATTATGCTATATTATATGCTACATAACTTACAAGTGATTTATGAGTTGTGTCATTTTTGAGTACAGGAGGTTCTACATTGAAGAAACAAATGCTGGATGACAGAAAATTTCCCAAAATGCATTTAAATTTGCAGCGCTTCCTACAGGTGAACTTCTAGTATTTATTAACAATGAGTTATGCAGGGTTCGCTAACTACTTTCTTCCACTAGGTATCATCTTTCCTTTTTCGTCTATATGTGGTAAATCAATTGTATCATAGTTTGTTTTGATTAATTAGTTAAGCTAAACCATGTTATAATCCAGGTTGTTGCTCACGGCGAGCAAGTATTCCCACGTGTAAAAGAGAAATGTTCAGCCAAAAGTTGGTTTGCGAGTGAAGATATCATTGCCCTTGAAGAACTAATTGGTCGTCTTAGGAGGCTAAAAGAGAATTTGGGATTTATAGTAAACCGGGTTGCAGCAATTCAAGCTGGTCTTGATAGTTGGCAGTCAGAGCAAATCAATAGGAAGCTTTATTATCTTTCTTTTCTCTCTATTATCTTCCTTCCTTTATCAATCATTACAGGAAGTAAGTTCTCCTTTATCAATTGTTCAGAATTATTTCAGTATTTCCAGTATGAAAATGCTTACCTGATCTATTCGGTTCATTTTACAGTATTTGGAATGAATGTTGGTGGTGTGCCATGGACAGCACAAAGAGATCCCGCTCTGCAAGATGGTTTTCGCAATGTTATGATTCTCTGTGTTGTGATGTTGTTTTTACTTTTAGTTTCTTTTTCGTTTCCTTCCCTTTATGCAAGGGTAAATTCTTGGCGTAGACGGCATGCTATGAGGAGGAGTTGGTCAATTAATAGAAAGTCCTTCTTGAGTAGAACCTTTCAGCGAGGTGGATTTCAGGGAGGAGGTTACATGCGCATTTAAAGTTCTTTACAGTGCATATCTTTGGAACTAAATTTCAGCATCATATGCTCTGACTTCTTTGGCACAAGATTCTCCTGAAAATTCCTTCTCTTATCTGTTTTTCCTTGTAAAGATTATATTGTCTGAATTATGTGGACAGCCTTCATCTTGGTTGCTCTGATCTTTCGAGTCCTTTGCACCTTTGTGGGGAAACTCTTTTGTGCCATTTCCACCATCACAGAACATGGATTTCTTTAGAAACCTATTGGCATGGAGTAAAGATTGTACTCTGATTGACACTAAAGATTGTGCTCACCATAAGACATTCTCGCATTGGAAGATTGAAGCTTGTCAACCTTCAATACAGATTAGTCAGAACTTGATGAATGGTTCTTGGTGTAACCTCATCACACTCTGGAGCTGCTAAATTTTGCCCTTTTTTTGGGTTCAAAACAGCTGAAAGCATATATGTAACCCCATAGATGATCAGAATTCACAAATCATTGATTCAGCATGTAGTAACATTCTGATGCATCTGTTGCAAAAAAGAATCCTTTTATTTTGGCTTTCTTGTGCAGCATAAAATGAAACATGTATTTGTTTCCCTGTGGTAAGAAAACCAACATAATGCAGCAGGCATTTGCCCTTGGTTTCAAGCCTATGGTGCACATAATTCCAGATTTATGCTTTGAGAATTTACTAATTGGTTTATCTAATTACTTGCCTCATCTGATAATTGTATTTTGATGGCAAATTAGCATCTCATCTTGGAGATGGCACAGCTTTGCCCATTGAATATCAGATTCAAAGTTTGTGGTTTGTGGTTTGTTGTTTGTTTCTTTGTTTGGATGTCTGATGAATGGAGTCACTTTCCATCTTTATGACATGTCATTGTAACATTAACCAAAAATATTTTGAAGCTGGTAGTGATGACTTTAGCTGTTCATTCTTTTGGAGAAGATGACAATGAAGGTAAAACTCCTCTCTTTTACACAAGTTTGATTTGTTGGGATGTAGAGAAGCTGGTGATGATAACTTTGAACTCATGACCTCTAGAGAAGCTCATTGTACCATCTTCCATCTATAAATTTATGAAGAGGCTGGATTACAGAAACATACTACTTAGTGTGCATGTTTGAAGAAGGTACTACAGAAGTCAGTCAAGCCATGTTGTGCTTGGCATCTTTAATTTACTTGCAGCACCCTGTAAGAAAAAAAAGTGATGAGTTCCATGTTGGGAGCCTTTGATTGTAAAATGACAGCTCCAGAGTCAGGTTTCATAGAAATCATTACTTGAAAGAAACTCAATTATCAATCAAGTGCTTTGCAATCAAACAAAAAAAATCTTGAAAATAGCATTAACAGCAAAAGATATTATCTTTGCAGATGTTGGAAGATTCAACAAGAGTAAAACAGTGCAGTGCCAATTCTTCCTCAAGGCTGTATCTGAATCAGAATGATGTAGACAGGGAGTTTGATGTTCTTCACATTCAGCAGAACCAGGCAAGTATTGAATAGTGAAGAAAACTACATAACTATGTCTAAAATTTAATTCAATGAGCAAAATCTAGGCAACCATTGCATATAATGAAATATATATTTATATATCACCACATCTAAAATTAAGTTCATTCATCAGTGGAATCAAAAAGTTTTTGTGGCAATGAATAATTATATGTTAAATCTATTTACATGTTTCTGCACAGCATGAACTGGATAGAATGTAGAGAGCATAGTCTCGTATTCTATTAAAAGCACACATCAACCTAATACTCTATAACAGTTGGTCATTGTCATAACCATCTTTACATACCAATATGGTTGTGTAGTGGGTATGACACTTTCACCTGTTGATTCAAACCACTGCAAATATGAAAACTAAAAACAAAATCATTAATCAACAATCCTGCTGCTTATAATCATAATAAACCCTGAAATTTTTACTAGAAACACAAAAGACTAAGCTAACAGATAAGCCAAATAGTTCACTGTTTTTAAGTATTTGCGATATACATTGCAGGTTCAAATAGTAGTCAGACATATAGAAAATTAGAAAAGACTCTCTCTGCACCACATACCATGAATCCAGTTGTCATTCAAAGTTATCGAACATCAAAGAACCTGATTAGTCAGTATCAATAATAAAATAAAAAATAAGACATTTATATTTGCACATGGAAATGACAACATCTAAACCAAACCCAGGAATGCAAAAACATCCACCTGAGCAAAAAAGAATGTGCAACAAATAATAATAAGCAAATCCATATAAGCATGGACACAACTGGACTCAAGAGATTGTCCAACATAGAAACAGAAACATGTTTAAATGTGATGGTTGTATCCAGATAAGTATGAAAGATACAAGTAATAGCTAGAAAGTTGTTCTTCATGCTACTGTTCATTACTCAACTGGCAGAATATGGCATCCATTGGCCAACTGAGGGCCATTTACCAAAGTTCTGTGTACCTTCTTTAATTTCTTAAATTGCGAAATCATATACAAGAAACTATTCAAAATCATACTGGATAGAGATTCTCTCCATGGTATTCTTACTCACAGCATCTCTCAGATACAACTCCTTCAAAACATCTGCAGCTAAATCTACCTCATCCTCATGAGCAATTCCTTCCACTAGAATTGCATATGTCGTTTCGTTAGGTACGTAACCTTTTTCAATCATTGTCTTGTAAATATCAAATGATAGATCTGTCCGCCGAGCCTTGCACAATCCAAGAATAAGTGCATTGTAGTTGTCAATATCAGGCTTGTTACCATGTTCCTCCATCACTTCAAAAGCCTTAAAAGCCTCACCCAACATGCCCTCCATACAAAGACCTTTGATCAAGGATGAATTGGTGTAAGAATCTGGAGTAAATCCATGTTTTGTCATCTCATATAGTAACCGGAAAGCTGCAAAAGTATTTCCTTTCTTACACAAGAACGATATAACATTTCTGTAGAAGTCATGCATGGAAGCATTTTGCTTATTTGCCACGGTATTGATTATGGAAAATGCCTCTACCACCTTCTCCTCCTCACAAAGCACAGCAATCACATTATAAGTCCCCTCATTAGGATTACAATGCCTCTGCATCATCAAGTCCAGGCACCTGAGCACCATGTCCAGTTTCCCCTCCTTGCAGTACTGGGCAATTATCAGGTTATAGTTAGCAGCTACAGGCTTATACCCATTTCTTGCCATCTCTTCTAACAAGTCGAGTGCTTGCTCAGTTCGACCATGATGGGCAAGCGACCCTATCAATATATTGTATGTGATACTACTTGGAGCACGGTTTCTATCACCCATTTCAGCTAAAAGCTCCTCTGCCTCCTCCCACCGCCCTTCGTAACACAGACTCCGCAACAAGATGTTGTAGGTAACAACATTAGGGCTAAACCCTTTGGAAGGCAACTCTCTGTAGAAGCACATTGCCTCTTCCAATCTACCCTCCTTGCAAAACCCTGTAAGCAAAACATTGTAACTAACCAAATTAGGCCTCCCACCCTTTTCAACAATTTCATCCAATAGCTTCACTGCCTCATCCACCCCTCTTTCCTTGTATGCTGCTTCTAGCAAGAATGAGTAAGTAAACACATTTGGAACCAATCCCTTGTGCACTAGTCGATCCAAAAGCCACAAACTTTGCTGCAAGTTCCCATGGATGCAAAGGCCCCTAACCAAAGAATTGTACGTGATCGTAGACGGCGGGCAACCATACTCATGCATTTTATCGACCAGCTGCATGGCATACCCAACATTCCCCCTCTTACACAACTGATTGATTAAAAAAGTATATGTGGATGAATCAGGAGTGCTCCCTGATCTGATAATCAATTCCATGACGCGAATGGCCTTCCGAATCTTATTTGATCTACAAAGATCGTACAAGAGCTGCGAGGCCTGGGTTGCGTCGGGCCTGTGCCCTCTCCCCACCATGTACTCCAAATGCACGAAGGCCTCCTGGAGCCTGAGCTCCCTGGTTCTTGACTCATTCTTCCCGTTCCTCCGGTTGGGAAGCGAAAAGGTTGCATCTTTGGGGAGTATGGTGATGGGAGTGTATGCTAAGACCCTAGAAAAACACTTGTTGAGGGAAAGAGTGGGGAGGTCCGGCAGATGGGAGACGAAGCATGGCTTGCTTCTGGCAGTGGGTGGGATGGAATGAAGACGGGATGACATGACCCTACAGGTTCTCTCTCAAGCAAAATCTTAAGAATAAGAAGAGCTTTTCATGAGCTTTGCAGAAATTGAATGCTGGAACACAGGTAAAGATCTAAGAAGCAAGAAAAGATGCAGTTTTTGTAGCTGCTGAGGGATGAAATGGATGATTTAAGGTTGGGTACCTCTGTTCACGCATCAAACTCTTCCCATGCTCACTGCTTCGGGATGAAGGTGATGCAGAGCAACGGCCTCCCACATCCAAATCCCGAAGTGCTTCGTCACCAACCAATGCCTGGTTAACATACGAGAGGGTTATCAAGATTGATTGGGTGACATTTGAATTGATTAGCTATTTGCTGTGTGAAAACATTCAGCGGATCCACTTTTAGCTAGGCACGTGCGCCGCGATCTGGCCCGTCGCTCTCTCTTCTCCTTCCCCGACCTCCTCCGTCCGACGACGTCGAGCCCGTCAGAGGACGCGGTTCGGCACTAGCACCACCGAGCTGCTCCGTCACTGCTGCAGGGGCCTGCTCGTTGGACGGCGCAGCCTCGGCCCTAGAAAAAGAGGAGGAGGAGAAGGGGCAGGTGGCTGCGGATTGGAGGAGGTGGACGGCCTGAGGAGGAGACGCCGGCGGGAGGCGGCGGCGAGCGAGCGTTGTCGTTGGTTCGATAATGATGAGCCGGATTTGGACCAAATACAAGGGCCATATTTGGGCCTCCATTAATGGGCCTAATTTGGGCTTCTATTAATGGCCCAAATTTAGGCCTAATCCAATAGTCCGGATTTGGGCTCGATAAATAGCCATAGAAGGAGTCTGCTGGCCGTGATCGAACCGAATCTACATTCCCAACCCTCGTTGCCACAAAAGCCTTTTAAATGCCCCGCCTCGCTCACATGAGTCGGCGCCTCCCGTTGCGATCGTTGGTCGCTCCACCGGAGCTCCTCGCCCTCGGTTTCTTGAATCGTAACCCTAACCCTAATTACTATTCTTCCGATCGCCTGCCGGCGTGCTACTCCTCTTTATGGCGTCCTCTTCCTCCTCTGGGAGCGATGGCGGCGATGCCTTCGACGCGGATATGGAGGCCCTGCGGCGAGCCTGCGCGCTCACTGGCGCCGACCCCGCCGACGTAGGTGGTGCCTACTTGGATTCTGACTCTGATTCCGGAAGCGACGATGCAGGCCTCCTTCGTCGTCTGCAGGAACGGTTCTCTTCGCCCTCCCTAGCCGTCGATTCCTTTTCCTTGGTCAAGCCCCTGTCTGTTCTCGCGCCGATGGATCTTGATGATGAGGATGATTTCGAAACCCTTCGAGCCATCCAGCGGAGATTTACTCAGTACAATAGCGGTAAGAGTCACCGCCCTTTCGAATCTGTGGCTGGATTACTTGTTTTAGATCTTCTTGTCGGTGAATATGCAATGTGGCGTCGCCGCCCTTGTTTATATTATGATTACTTGGTAATTTTTTTAAAAAATTAATTCATTTTTGCGTTTGCCTGAGGCTATGGTTTACTTTGTATGTTGGCTATATATCAAGAAGAACAGAGATTGCGATGCACCTTACCAAATGAATAATTTCAGTCTGAAAATCAAACGAACTGCTACAAGCATTCTTTTGTTAATTTTAATGGGACTCTGACCAACCAGACTAAGCACATCTATTATGAGATTAGTAGATACTAACTTACGACTCCTACCACATTTCTAATTGTCAAGAAATGATTACCTCCTATTAGTGGTGTAAACTGATGGATCAGATTAGGGTGGATTCATCTGATTGCAAGTTGAATTTGCTGGACGACAACTGTCTGTTAGAATCAATATTTCACTGATTATTGGACAGATCTTTTGAAAATGTCTAGGTTGGTAAAATCTGATATGATCATTGGAAGTTGTCTTTGAAAAAGATCTATTAGACTTTTAGTGCTTCAAATTTAGAACTTTGGCCATTTGACCTTCAGATCTGGCTTTTATCCACAAAATAACTGGCTCAAATGTATCAAAAGCCATAGGTGTTTTTTCTTCTATGATTGGTAACATGAAGGTCATACAACCAAGGTCGACCTAAAAGAATGTGGGCAATATCTATCGGTAGGTTGTCACAGTAAATTTCATCTTGGTAATCGCCCATTTAGATTGGTACTAGGCATCTTTCGATCATGAGTAAAGTGGTTTCGTTAACCCAAGCTACTTTTAATGAGGTCGGAAGGTAGTAGTCTTTTGATAGCAGATTTTGAGATTACGTTCATAGTGCTACCCAAGGATTGAAATATCGTACCGTACCGGAGTTTCGATCTTCTCTCGGTATGGTACGGTATTGTATACCGAACGGTATATCG